GTTTTATTTATTATTTTTATTATGTATTTATTTATGTATTTATTTATTTCATTTATTATTTTCAATTTATTTTCTTTGCACAAGTACTGTGTCAATTATTCTACAATGAAAAACCTGAGAAGCGAAAACATCTTTCAAGTAGTCTGAAAATTGCTGTTCAATAGATAATTTGTTTGGCGATGTTGATCTGTTATGAGGGTCATTTTGCCGCAACACAAACCTTTGACTTGATATTGTATTTATTTTAAAGTGAACCTAAATCCAAAAACAGAAATGTCATATCGCATCTTTATCAGTCCTTAGACGGGTTTGCTGCATTACTTTTCTTTTTTTCATTTATTTTCTTTTTCTTATTTATGTTTTATTTATAATTTTTTTATCATTTATGTATATATGAATTTTGAAATTCTTATTGTTATTTTTATTAAAATTATTATTATTTATTTAGTGTGTGTGTATATACATATATGTGTATATATATATATGTGTGTGTGTATATATGTGTATATATATATATATACAGTTGCAAGAAAAAGTATGTGAACACCCTTGGGATTACGTGGAGTTTTGCATGAATTGGGCATAAAATGTGCTCTGAACGTCATCTAAGTCACAACAATAGAAGAACACAGTCTTCTGAACATAATACTACACAAACATTAGATGTTGCCATGGTTTAACTGCACATAACATGTAAACATTCACAGTGCAGGGAGGAAAAAGTACATGAGGCCCTAGCTTAATGACTTCTCCCAGAGCTAATTGGAACCAGGAGTGAGCCAACCTTGACTCCAATCAGTGTGATGATATTGGATGTGTTGCTGACAGCTGTCTTGCCCTTAAAAATCACACACCTGTTTTGGGTTTACTGGTTTAAAGAAGCACTGTCTGATGTGAACCATGCCTCGCAGAAAAGAGCTCCCAGAAGACCTACGATCAAGAATTGTTGACTTGCATGAAGCTGGAAAGGGTTACAAAAGTATCTCCAAAAGCCTTGATGTTCATGTGTCCACGGTAAGACAGACTGTCTGCAAATGGAGAAAGTTTAGCACTGTTGCTACTCTCCCTAGGTGTGGTCGTCCTGTAAAAATGACTGCAAGAGCACAGAGCAGAATGCTGCATGAGGTAAAGAATCCCAGAGTATCAGCTAAAGACCTACAGAAATCTCTGGCACATGCTAACATTTTTGTTGACACATCTACAATAAGGAAAACATTAAACAAGAATGGAGTACATGGGAGGACACCACGGAGGAAGCCATTGCTGTCCAAAAAAAATATTGCAGCACGTTTGAAGTTTGCAAAAGAGCACCTGGATGTTCCACAGCACTACTTGCAAAATATACTGTGGACAGATGAAACCAAGATTGAGTTGTATGGGAAGAACACACAACACTATGTGTGGAGAAAAAAAGGCACAGCACACCAACATCAAAACCTCATCCCCACTGTAAAACATGGCGGAGGGAGCATCATGGTTTGGGGCTGCTTTGCTGCCTCAGGGCCTGGACGGATTGTTGTCATTGATGGGAAAATGAATTCCAGAGTTTATCAAGACATTTTGCAGGAAAACGTACGACCATCTGTCCGCCAACTGAAGCTCCGCAGAGGATGGGTGATACAATAGGACAATGACCCAAAGCATACAAGTAATTCAACAAAACGATGGCTGCAACAGCACAGAATATGTCTTCTGGAGTGGCCCAGTCAGAGTCCTGACCTCAATCCGATTGAAATGCTGTGGTATGACCTTAAGAGAGCGATTCACACCAGACATCCCAAGAATATTGCTACACTGAAACAGTTTTGTGAAGAGGAGTGGTCCAAAATTACTCCAGATCGTTGTGCAGGTCTGATCTGCAACTACAGGAAACGTTTGGTTGAGGTTATTGCTGCCAAAGGAGGGTCAACCAGTTATTAAGTCCAAAGGTTCACATACTTTTTCCTCCCTGCACTGTGAATGTTTACATGTTATGTGCAATTAAACCATGGCAACATCTAATGTTTGTGTAGTATTATGTTCAGCAAACTGTGTTCTTCTATTGTTGTGACTTAGATGACGTTCAGAGCACATTTTATGCCCAATTCATGCAAAACTCCACGTAATCCCAAGGGGTTCACATACTTTTTCTTGCAACTGTATATACTGTGTATATATATATATATATATATATATATATAGATATATAGATATATCGATATATATAGATATATAGATATACAGTATGTGTGTGTATTTATTTATTTTATTTTATATTTATTTACAATGTATTATTTTTATTATTTTATATTTATTTTTTTTTTCAATGTATTTTCTTTGCACGAGTACTGTGTACATCCAATTATCCTACGATGAACATCTTTCAAGTAGACTGGAATTTGCAGTTCAGTGGATAATTTGTTTGCCAATATTGATCTGTTGTGAGGTTCATTTTACCACAACACATCCCATTGACTTGAAATTGTATTTTTTATTATTATTATTATTTTTTTTTTTTTATGTTTCAATACTTTATATTAGTTTTCTGGTACAAAAGGGAAAATAATCTTTCCATATACAATAAAAGGCATATTTTGCAGAGGTGGCAAGCCATGTATGTGATCATGTCCCAAGATCTGTGCATGCGTAAGGAACACTCTGCAGACCTGTATAAAGGATTAGGGCCATGCAGACATCCAATATTATTCAGTCATTGATGATACTTCAGGAAAGTGTTGCATTGCGACCACTAGATGGTACTGGCAATTATCAGAAAAAATCATATTAGAAACAATATGGCAATCATTTATCCACTATAATTGTCAGTGATATCTAGTGCCCATCAAACTTTTTTTTTTTTCATTTTTAGGTATTTTTATTTATTTCAGGTACTTGTATAGCACTGTCAATTTACGCAACGCTTTATATATATATTGTACATTCACATCAGTCCCCACCCCCGAGGAGCGTACAATCTAAGGTCCCTAACTCACATTCATACATACACATACTAGGGACAATTTAGACAGGAGACAATTGACCTACTAGCATGTCTTTGGAGTGTGGGAGGAAACCGGAGCACCCGGAGGAAACCCACACAGGCACAGGGAGAACATGCAAACTCCAGGCAGATGGTGCCGTGGTTAGGACCAATGACCCTAGTACTGCCAGGCGGAAGTACTAGCCACATTGCTTTCCCAGTATTTCAGGAAAATATTGCCTTATGGCCACTAGATGGAGCTGAAGATCATTGGAGATAATCACATTAGAAGCAATACTGCAAACGTTTGTGGCACCCACACAAATGTCTTCATACATTAATAAAAGCTACAATGTTTCTAGATACAGGAAATGTGCCAACATATCATCTGTGATGGTTTGATTATTGCAGGATGGCAACATAGTAATACAAGAATATCATTTATAGTTTAAAAAAAAAAAGAAAACAAAAATCCACATGAAAGAAAAATATATTTTAAAAATATTCTTCCCAAATATATTTCCATATATTTGAAATTGAAATGCTACAATTTTGGCCATATTCCATATATTTAAAAAAAAAAAAAAAAAAATATATATATATATATATATATATATATATATATATTTCATGTTGAAATGTGTTTTTATTACAAAATATATATTATAATATATAATATTCTTCCCAAATATATTGACATATATTTGAAATACTACAATGTTGGCCGCATTCAATATATTTAAAAATATATTATATATATATATATATATATATATATATATATTCATACTGCATGTTGAAATGCATTTTTAATACAAAATATATGAAAAATATTTTTAAAAAAACATTCCAAATATACTATATGTCTTTAAAAATACAAATCTACATTTTAGGAATTCATTTACAAGTATATGTAAAAATATATGTTAAAATTATTTTTTTATGTGTAAAAAAAAATCTGAAGAATATATTTAAAAAATATAGATTTTTAATACTGTATATATTTTCTAATATATTCTTCAAATTTTTTTTTTTTTAACATTCCCCGCAGGAAGGCTATCATGGTGTCTAGTCAGGATTTGTGGCGGTCCCGCCATCTAGAGAATTGTGAGGGAAGAAATTATCATTAATAAGCGAGTGTCCCTAGCAGACAATTAGGATACATTTGTAGTTGAGAAAGGCAGCAAATGGAAGCCCCAAGGTGACCGGTCTCCATAGAAACTCCCGGAAGACTTTTATCGCACCACCACCGCTACATTTCCTTTATTATTGGTGCTGAGAATGGCAATGAGATAGTTAACATGGTGTGACAGTTAACCCATCAACTGCTGGACAAAGGGAGGGTCCAGGGATATGCATATGGAAGAGAAATATATTTTCAATATATTTAGAAAATAAAATTATACATGCGACCTATATTTACAATATATTGGCCTACACAAATATATTTTAACATTTATTCCAAAAATGTAAATTAAAATATATTTTCCAAAGGCATATATTTAAAAATATATTTTTCAAAATATATTTTCCAGATATTTTTGATGATCTAAAAAAATGCATTTAACCACTTCAATACCGGGCACTTTTACCCCCTTCCTGTCCAGGGCATTTTTCAGGCTTCAGCGCTCTCACACTTTGAATGACAATTGCACGGTCATGCAACACTGTACTCAAACTAAAATGTTATCATTTTCTTCACACAACTAGAGCTTTCTTTTGGTGGTATTTAAGCAACACTGGGGTTTTTATTTTTGCTAAATTAACAAAAAAAGGGCAAAAACTTTGAAAAAAAAAACACTTTTTTTTGTTTCTGGTATAAAAGTTTGCAAATAAATAATTGTTCTTCATAAATTTAGGCCGAGATGTATTCTGCAACATGTCTTTGGTGAAAATAACCCAAATTAGGATGTATTATTTAGTTTGTAGGAAAGTTATAGAGTTCACAAACTATGGTATAGATCTGAATATTGATCAATCCTGAAGTACTGACAGCCAATCTAATTTCTTGAGGTCCAAGAATGTCAGGACAGTACAGATATCCCCCAAATGTCAGGACAGTACAGATATCCCCCAAATGTCAGAACAGTACAGATATCCCCCAAATGTCAGGACAGTACAGATATCCCCCAAATGTCAGGACAGTACAGATATCCCCCAAATGTCAGAACAGTACAGATATCCCCAAATGTCAGGACAGTACAGATATCCTCCAAATGTCAGAACAGTACAGATATCCTCCAAATGTCAGGACAGTACAGATATCCCCCAAATGTCAGGACAGTACAGATATCCCCCAAATGTAAGAACAGTACAGATATCCCCCAAATGTCAGGACAGTACAGATATCCCCCAAATGTCAGAACAGTACAGATATCCCCCCAAATTTCAGAACGGGACAGATATCCCCCAAATGTCAGGACAGTACAGATATCCCCCAAATGTCAGGACAGTACAGATATCCCCCAAATGTCAGGACAGTACAGATATCCCCCAAATGACAGGACGGTACAGATATCCCCCAAATGTCAGAACAGTACAGATATTCCCCAAATGTCAGGACAGGACAGATATCCCCCCAAATGTCAGAACAGTACAGATATCCCCCAAATGTCAGGACAGGACAGATATCCCCCCAAACAGGGGCAGGCTGACAACTCATGGGGCCCCCGGGCAACAGGGGATCATGGGGCCCCTGTGTCCTTGCCCAAACTCAAAAAAGCCTATGAAAAAGGTACCAGGGGCATCTCATGGGGCCCCCTACTGACCCCGGGCCCTCGGGAAGTGCCCGAGTTTCCAAATGGTCAGTCCACCCCTGCCCCCAAATGTCAGAACAGTACAGATATCTCCCAAATGTCAGGACAGTACAGATATCCCCCAAATGTCAAGACAGTACAGATATCCCCCAAATGTCAGGACAGTACAGATATCTCCCAAATGTCAGGACCAGGGGTGGACTGATCATATTAAGATATCAAAAAAGAGAGGTGTGGAAAGCCCATAATATCTTTTTGTTTTGTTTTTTTTTTAATCTGTGCAGTATGCTCTCACAACTAAACATCAGGTGCATACAAAAATGAGCGCAAAAAAAAGTGAACCACAAAAAATTGCACAGGGTGTACCTGTGGTCCTCCTCTGAAGAGAAAGGACCCTGACCCCAATACCCCAGGGTTCACAAACCCCATAATATCTTTTTTTTTTTTAATCTGTGCAGTACTCTCTCACATCTAAACACCAGATGCATACAAAATGAGCACAAAAAAAGTGAACCACAAAACATTGCACGGAGAAAGGACCCTGACCCTGATACCCCAGGGTGCAAGACACTTGATGGGCAGCACAGTGGCTAAATGGTTAGCAATTCCACCTGGCTCTTTGGTTTGAATCCCAACCACGGCACCACCTGTCTGGATTTTGCAATCTGGATATACTGCACTTAGAAGCGCCTTGCTGTCTTATCCTCCTCCACCTTTCCTATTTACCCCGTCTCTCTGAAAGAGAACATAGCCAGGAATATTAATGGACCAGTCATGCGAAGAATGAAGCCAAGATTCAGCAATAACAATTAAATCCTAGTTCTCTTCATACACCAAAGCTTCCAACTCACCTATTTTTCTTGGCAGACGTCTGGCATTGGTGAGCAAACACTTTAATCCATTGACACCTTGTGCACACGTATTTTGCATATTTTTTATTTTCGCACAAATGGTACCAATTCCTCTGGTTGTTTGTAGCATGGGAACCTTCTTATCATCTGCCATAGCCCTCCCCCCATCTTTCCCCATTCCACCCACCAGTAAGGACTGACCCGTCTGATCTGTCTGCCCCATTATAATCTAATTCTCCCTCTTCCTCGATCCTAGTTTAAATATTCCTCCAGCCTTCCCATAAACCTCTCCCCCAGCACAGCACACCCCCATTTAGGTGCAGACCATCTCTAGCATATAGGTTGCACCCAGGGGCAGACTGACAACTCATGGGGCCCTGGGCAATAGGGGATCATGGGGCCCCTGTTTCCTTGCCCAAACTCAAAAAAGCCTATGAAAAATGTACCAGGAGCATCTCATGGGCCCCCCTACTGACCCCAGGGCCCTCGGGCAGTGCCAGAGTTTCCAAATGGTCAGTCCGCCCCTGGTTGCACCCCAATGAAAAAGTCATCTTTACCATGTTTACTACAGTTTTCATGTTGCTCCTTACTGTGTTGCAATACCGTATCTGTCAGAGAGGAGAGGAGTGTAGGCAAGTACAGTCTACTATCTTCACTGCAGGTGGTGCTCAACTGCAGCAACATTGCAGATGGAGAGGAGTTCAGGAGGAACATTTTCCTCTATGGTTTCCTGGGTCACTTGTTTAGCTACCCAGTTAGATGCTGTTGCCCCATTTGACTCTGGTGGCCATCTTTTGTCAGGCAGTGTCCATTTAAGACTCTGGCTCTCGAGCTTGGCGCTCATTCTGCATGTGGGTAGTGTACGGACAGGTCACCCATCTGTCAGGGAGAGTGAATAGTGGCAGGGAAAGGTCCCAGTTGAGTAGGGAAAGGATAGGGACATTCTTCCTGGAATCCCCCCATTTAGATACAGACCAGAAATGCCACATTTGATCCTGAAGGCAGACGCAGTGGGCACATCCATGTCCTACCCCATTACACATTGCCGTTTCATCTGTGAGTGTTCCCGGTCAGGAGTCTTCCCGCTGGACTATTTGTGAAGTTTGAACTTTGACTTTAGTACAAGTTCCATTTCCTGCAACTGGACTCGTTGTGTTTACTGCCACATGTTTGTGAAAGTGATGAATCGGAAACCAATGTTACATTATGAGAGCTGTCATACGTCAAATGCCTTCAAATCTATTGTCCGTAGTCAAGTGTTGAATGGTGAAAGAATTGTACATGATGAAAAGATAACAGAAGACGAAAAAAAGGAAATGGAGCTACACTAAGGAGGTTATCCTGAGTCTCTATTACAAGAAAGAAGACAAGAATATAAAGTTAGGAGATCTGATGTGGATAATAATAGAATCCCTATTGTGTATCATATACGGTATTTTCTAGAAAGGTTTTTTATCTATTATATGAGAATTTTAAGGGAAATGTATCCATTGGTTCCTGAATTTAGACCTCTCCTATACAAGTGTTTTATAGGACCCTGCATGATAGAATGGTGAAGGAGGACATTTCCCCACCTACCTTGAGGCAAACTACCATAAGTGGTGTAAAAATAGAAGGTTCCGAGCCTTGTCTCTCATGTTCACAGTGCGGTGGCATGACCAACGGTGCAATCTTCTGCAAATTTGACAACACAAAAGAATACACGATGTCCCATTATTTGACTTGGCAAACATCTTTTATAATTTATCTGATAGAGTTACCACGTGGCTGTAAGAATTTCAGTGAGACTACACAAAATGTTTGTGATGGAGTTGCACAGCACATATTTTTTTTCATCCATTCTGCTTCAACAGAACCATCAGTGGTGAGACATTTTGTAGAGGTAGGATATGGGCAGCTACAATTCCAGGTGATAGACCATTTCTGCAAAGACCATTATGCTGAGGACCAGGTCTTTCTCTTGAGACAACATGACGTGTTTTGGATCCTTACCTTGGACACGTGCACTAAGAAAATTGAATTATAATTATGTTGAGAAAAGTGGAAAAATAGTGTTCGACCCAAAGAGTTGCCAATTATTTATTAATTCCATAGTCAATGAAGTTGACAAAAGACGAGAGATTGACCAGAATGGACTGAGTAGAATGAGAGGCCTCTTGGCCAACTTAGTGTTCATGTGGTGGTGGTCCTCAGGGTTCAAATGCTGAGTTAGTAAGATAAAAGGCCCAGGGAGCAACCAGCACTATCTACTGAAAAAAATAAGAGGAGACGCGGAAGAGCCCTTTTAGTGCGGTATGTACTGTATTTAGAACTAATAATTATGATAATAGGGATTTAGGTATTAAAATTAGATATAATTAGTGTTGCGCTCCACTGAATTTAAATAAAATCTGTGAAAAAATATTGCTATGATTGCCTCAATACATATTATTTGTGACCATATATTAAGTGATCCAAATGTGACATGCATAAAAATATATATAGTGAAAAAACATATATATGTTGAATATCAAAAATATAAATTTGCAATGATTTTATCTGTAAAAAATAAAATAAATATATATAAATTAAAAAAAAAAATAAATAAAAAAATAAAATCAAAGAAGTGTCCAGAAAAATTAAAATCCAATATTGTGTCCACTCCTTGGTTATATTCTGAACAAACGGTTACACCTTTCTTATATATGCGCTCACCTTAAATTTAGCCCAGCTTATGATTAGGCTAAAACAACATTTTGTCCTAAATTGGACAGATGAGGAAATTTCAGGAATACTGATTCGCAAGATGTAATACTTTAATTATCCCTTAGGGGGTCTCTCAGGCACGCTGATCCCTGTATTTCAGCGGTTCTCAACCTGGGGGTCGCGACCCCTTTGGGGGTCGAACGACTCTTTCACAGGGGTCGCCTATGACCATGGGAAACACATATTTCCGATGGTCTTAGGAACCGAGACACCGCTGCTCTATCCGTCTCCAGGTGTGGGCGGGATGACATGCTGCCCCTGTCATCTGGACACACCCTCGGGATCAATCCTCGCCGGTGATTGGCCGCCGGAACTGTAGCTCAGGAGAAGCACACAGGCGGCCAATCACCCGCGAGGAGGTGGAGCTTGGAGAGGAGGAGCCAAGCGGCACCGCGAAGATCGAGCGAGTGAAGAGGAGGAGAGCGGCCGGAGAAGGAAGACAGCTGACAGGTAAGTGTCTGTACCATGGGAGAGGGAGGGAGCGAGCCCAGGCTGGAGCAGGGGTCAGCAAGGTAAGTATTGTTGGTGTCAGTGGGAGGAATAGTGCCCCATCATTGGTGTCACTAATAATAATGATGGGGCACTATTCCTCCCACTGACACCAATGATGGGGCACTATTCCTCCCCCCACTGACACCAACGATGAGGCACGATTCCTCCCCCCACTGACACCAACGATGGGGCACTATTCCTTCCACTGATACCAATGATTGGGCACTATTCCTCCCACTGACACCAATGATGGGGCACTATTCCCCCCACTGACACCAATGATGGGGCACTATTCCTCCCACTGATACCAATGATGGGACACTATTCCTCCCACTGATACCAATGATGGGGCACTATTCCCCCCACTGACACCTATGATGGGGCACTATTCCTCCCACTGACACCAATGATGGGGCACTATTCCTCCCACTGATACCAATGATGGGACACTATTCCTCCCACTGACACCAATGACGGGGCCCTATTCCTCCCACTGACACCAATGACGGGGCACTATTCCTCCCACTGACACCAATGACGGGGCACTATTCCTCCCACTGACACCAATGACGGGGCACTATTCTTCCCACTGACACCAATGACGGGGCACTATTCCTCCCACTGACACCAATGACGGGGCACTATTCCTCCCACTGACACCAATGACGGGGCACTATTCTTCCCACTGACACCAATGACGGGGCACTATTCCTCCCACTGACACCAATGACGGGGCACTATTCCTCCCACTGACACCAATGATGGGCACTATTCCC